CTTTTGTTTATGTTGTTTAACTCTGTGAAGCTGTGTTACTGTGCCTATCTAAAGCACCTGATGGTCTAATGAAGAGCTGAACAGTCAATAGTGAGGGAGGAGAGAGAAGCAGGCAAGGCTGGCAGGCGGAGAGGATAAATAGAGGGGAAAAAAGAGGAGCAAGAGAGAAGAGAAAGAAGGAGCAAAAGGAAAGAAAGAGGACATCAGCGGCCAGCCACACAGCCACACAGCCACACAGCCACACAGCCACACAGCCACACAGCCACACAGCCAGCCTTGGAGTAACAAACAAAGCAAGGTTACAGAAGTAAGAAAAAGGTAGCCGGGATAATTTAAAGTTAGGAAAAGCTGACAAGAAACAAGCCAAGCTAAGACTGGGCATTTATAATTAAGAATAAGCCTCTGTGTGTGATTTATTTGGGAGCTGGGTGGCGGGGCCCCCAAAAGAGTAAAGAGTAAAGGAGCAAAAACAAACACCACCACCATAAGATCTGACTGTAGCACTGGGCATTGGTGGCCATGCCTTTAATCCCAGCACTCGGGAGGCAGAGGCAGGTGGATCTCTGTGAGTTTGAGGCCAGCCTGGTCTACAGAGTGAGTCCCAGGACAGCCAGAGCTGTTACACAGAGAAACTCTGTCTCAAAAAACCAAAACCAAAACCAAACAAGATGTGGCTGTAAGGCATTTTCTTAATTAATGATTGATGGGGAAGGGCCCAGACCATTGTGGGTGGTACCATCCCTGGGCTGGTGGTCCTGGATTCTATAAAAAAGCAGGCTGAGCAAACCATGATGAACAGCCAGTCAGCAGCCTCCATGGCTTCTGCATCGGCTCCTGCCTCCAGGTTCCTGCCCTGCGTGAGTTCCTGCCCTTGCTGCTTTTGATAATGAACTTCTATATGGACAGTAAATGACATAAACCTTTTCCTCCCCAAGATGCTTTTGGTCATGGTGTTTTATGACAGCAATAGTAACCCTAACTAAGACACATACACAAAAAATAATTAAAAATTTTTAATGACTGATACAAGTAGGGGTTAATTTTTAAAATTGTATTTAATGTGTGTGTGCATGAATGTCACACTGGACATGGGAAGTCAGAGAACAACTTGTGGGAGTTGGTCCTCTCCTTCCACCACATGTATGCCAAGGATCAAACTCTGGTCATCGGGCTTCGTGTCAAAGCCTTTACCCAATGAACCATCTTGTTGGCTCAAAACAGGCAGGTTTTGCGGTTTGGAGTCAAGGCACAAGCTCTTGTCACCAAGACATTGAAAGATGGAGCTTCCAGTCCCTTGACAACTACATTTTGAAGAGATGAATTCCAGCTGGGCCAGGTGGCACAGGTTTGTAATCCCAGATACCTGAACGTGTAGATCCCCTGGAATTGGAGTTAAAGATAATTGTGAGCCACCATGTGGGTGCTGGGAATCGAACCTGGATCCTCTATAAGAGAGGCAAGTGCTCTTTTGTTTGTTTTTGTTTTTCAAGACAGGGTTTCTCTGTGTACCACTGGGTGTCCTGGATCTCGCTCTGTAGACCAGGCTGGCCTTGAACTCACAGAGATCCGCTTGCCTCTGCCTCCCGAGTGCTGGGATTAAAGGCGTGCGCCACCACCGCCCGGCTGGCAAGTGCTCTTCACTGAGCCATCCTTACAGCCCCAAGAATAAACGTTGTAAATAATTTCTATTTTTACATTTGTGTGTGTGTGTGTGTGTGTGTGTGTGTGTGTGTGTGTGTGTGTGTGTGTGTGGTGTGGTGTGGTGTGGTGTGTGTCTAATATGTGGGTGGGCATGTAGTCCACAACCCACAAGTGAAGACTAAAAGGAAAAGTATTGACTCAGGACCCTCAATACCAAGTTCTCAGCACAAAAGAGATTCATTTGCCCCAGAGGGACAGAGGGCAGACAGACAAAGAAAAGAGACAGAGGACTAGGGAGAAGGGGAAGGGGACAAAGGAAAGGGGGCAGGGGCATTTGTCTCGGAGGGACAAAGTGCTGCTGCCTCTGGATAGAGAGGAGACAGGCGTGGCACCTAGGAAAATGGCAATGTATAAAGGTACAAAGGGTGTTTAATTTTAATTGGGCATGTTAGTTAGGTGAGCCAAAGGGGGCTTCTGATGGCTGGACTTCAATACTGATTGCTGGACCTTGGTGGTCAGCCTCAGGAGGAAGAGGTGCCAAATGAGGGGACAGACCTTGGGGCTAGCTTTAGAACTGCAACCTAACAGTTTTTAGCAAAGCAGAGGGAATGGGGGAGAAGGGCAAGGCCTGCCAGAGCCATGCTCACCATGCTCTAGCGAGCTGGAGTCCCTTCAGAGATGAGGGAACAACTTGCTGGAGTTGGTTTTCCTCCACCATACGGTCTCCGGGGTTCAAACTCGGTGGCAAGGGCTTTTGGCTGCTGATCCACCTTCTTGGGCCACGAATAAAGTCTTAACTCCTTTTCAGGTGTCAGCTGTGTTTTGTGTCACTAGGAACATAAAGAGATCAGGCAGCCTACCGCCCCTCCAAAATAGGAGATTCAGGGGCTGGAGAGATGGCTCAGCGGTTAAGAGCACTGGCTGCTCTTCCAGAGGAACTGGGCTCAATTCCCATCACCCACATGGCAGCTCACACTTGTAACTGCAGTTCTAGGGCTTCTGACATCCTCGAATAGACAAACATGCTAGCAGAACATCAATTAGTACAAAATAAAACTTTAAAAAAAATTAAGAAAGGGCTGAGGGAATGACAGCTCCGAGGTAGAGCACCCGCAAGAGCAAGGCCCTTGTGTGTGTGTTGGGGCTGGGGCTTTCGGGAGACTTCCCGACCAGAGTGTGGCCATAAGCTTAAGCTTTCTTTTTCTTTTTCCTTTTTTTTTTTTTTTTGGGGGGGGGGTGTTCGAGACAGGGTTTCTCTGTGTAGTCCTGGCTGTCTTGGAACTCACTCTTTAGACGAGGCTGGCCTGGAACTCACCGAGATCCGCCTGCCTCTGCCTCCCGAGCGCTAGGATAGAAGGCGTGGGCCACCACTTGCTGGGCTAAACTTTTCTTAACCATTACAAAGTTTCAAACTCGGGACAAACAGCTGAGGTGCCTATTTAACATAACAAAGCAGACCTGGCCGACGACAAGTTCTCCAGCATCCTTCAATTCCTAATGTTACAGGGTAGGGATCAGCAGCAAATCCCACCTCCTACCCTAAACTCTCCAACCCAGGGGCTGGGGCTCTTCCCTATATAATCCAGACGTTTTGGTTGCCCCTCCCTTTTTTGGTCCTTTGGCCTTACTGGCTGCTCCTCCTAGTTCCCTTCTTTCCCTTCTCCTCTCTCTCTCCCCACGTGGCCCGGCTCAGCCTGGTCGGGTCTACTCTGGACTCTTCCAGATTATCTCTGCCTCTGGCTATGCTCTCCCATGTATCTACAATAAACTTTCTCCTCCACCATACCTAGGAGCAGTCATGTCTTTTCCTTTTTATTTTTATTTTTTCATTCAACTAGCAAATTCATTAAGTAGTCGGTGTTTGAAGAAAAGAAGAAAAAAGGCAGGCTTGTATTTTAAAAGGAGAGAAAATGAAAATTCTGGTAGAAATGGTTTTCTTTCCTGCCTGGTGTGTGTGTGTGTGTGTGTGTTGCTGGTCCGTTGCACATCAGTTTGTGTGTGTGTGTGTGTGTGTGTGTGTGTGTGTGTGTGTGTGTGTTGCTGGTCCGTTGCACATCAGTTGTGTGTGTGTGTGTGTGTGTGTGTGTGTGTGTGTGTGTGTGTGTGTGTGTGTGTGTGTGTGTGTGTGTGTGTGTGTTGCTGGTCCGTTGCACATCAGTTTCCCAAGCGTTGATCCATCCGAGGGCCCCGGGTCCATGTCTTGCCCAGCTGGGGCACCTGCCCTCATGGGACAGCCCGGGCTGCCTGGGCTCGGTCCCGTTCCAGCCCCTAGCTGGGGCACCCGGATCGGAAAAGGGAGAAGGTACGGAAGGCGGCCACCCGGCCTGAGTACAGCCTGGGACCGCCCGCCACCACCAGGGCGAGCCCAAAGCTCAAAGCCCGCGCTCGAGGCCACGCCCCGGGCCCGCCGACGTCAGCCCCCCGGAGCCCGCGCACACGGCTTCGGGGAGGGGCTGCGCGATGACGTCAGGTGCGGCGTGGCTCGCGGCCCTAAACCTGCGTGCGCGTTCGCGGCTGGCAGCCATCGCTGGCGGGTCCTCGATCGTATGTGGGTCTGCGCTCACGTTTTCTGCATCTACCGCCATCAGGGACCAGAGGCCATGCCGGGCTATTCTGAGGCCAGGTAGGGATCGCAGGGCTCGGTGGCGGGAGGCAGGTCCGGCTACCGTAGAGTCGGGGCCGTTTCCGCTGTGGGGACACGTGCCACCGGGTAACTTAGGCCTGATTCTGGGGGACTCGTTCCAGACGTCAGCGAGTCCCTGCCGAAGCATGGAAGTGACCCTCGAGAGAGATTCCGTCACGGGAGAGAGTGTCGAGGGGCCAGAATTGGGTGATAGGCACAGGCCGGGGCTGAATGTGCCTTGTCCCCCTTCCTAGGTGGACACCGAAACCGGGTGGATGGACCCACAGCGTGGAAGGGCTGACCAAACCCTTCCGGAAGATGATCTGGTAAGTGAGCTGTGAAAGGCGGGCTCTGCCTGTCTGGAACTGGGCCCTCGTTTCTCTGAACCATTATCGAATTAACTTAAGGTGTCGAATTTTTCTCCAGCCTCGAAAATACATCTTGAGAACAATACGGAAGAAAAGACCATTTAGTTTGCTTGTTTAGGTATGTATGTCACGTAGATTTCTGTGGTCATGAGAGTTTAAGACAACTATTCTGAAATTAGCGTCACGTAGAATAATGTAGCAGTTTATTTTGTCTAATCTTTCAAATGCGATGGCCATTTCTGGAGAGCCTTCCTTGTAACCTCAGCCAAAATCGAGGTAATCTGGAGCCAAACTCAGTATCTCTAATTTACCTCCAGCGTTCTCAGGATTTTGGTCTGAGTGGTGCAGGATTTGAGTGATGATGCTCTTCGCAAGCCTCCAGCGTGCTTGGGTCTGCAGTGACCCTGTGCATTCCTATAGTGCTTGCCAGAACAGTTTTGAAGTGGTTTGAGGCCTTGCCCTGACCCCTCCTGGGCAAGGTTATAGAAATTTCAGACAATATCAGATACCTGCCACGTGGGTAAATTACAAGTGTGGAATTACAAATGCTTCACTTCCTTGTTTTATTTCTAACTAGTCAAAAAGTTTTGCACAGTTCTGGTCTAGAGGCAAATAAGTCAATGAATATTCTTTTTCTGTATTCCAGGGTTAGTACAAACTATTAAACCCGTAAAACAGTTACAAAATGCACCGCATGAGAAACCAGAGTTTGGTCCCCAGCACTCAAGGAACACTCCAGATGTGGTGGCACATGATTCTGATTTCCAGGGCTGGGGAGGCAGGCATCTGGGTCCCGGGGTTAGTTCTTAGAAGGCAAGAAAATCGGGCTGAGTGCCTGCAGGTGGTGGTGGCCTGGCCAGTGTGCCAATACCTAAGGAAGGCCTCTCCAAAGAGGAGCATCGGTATGGTGTTTCTTGTTTTTGAGAAGGGACACATTTAGGCTAGGCTGGCCTGAAACTTAGATTGTGGGGGGGTTGAATTCCCAGTCCTCCTGCCTCAGCCCCAATGGCTCAAAGTTCTAGGTTTGCAAGCGTGTGTCTTCATGCTTGGCTTGGCATATTTCATGTCAGGGGTCTCACTGACCCTGGGTTGCCTTGAGCTCAGAGATTCCCCTGCGGCAGTTTCCCAGGTGCTGGGATTAAAAGTGTATGCCACCATACCAGGTCCTCATTTTAAGTCTTTAATCCTGTTTTTGTTTTTTTTTTCAAGACAGGGTTTCTTTATGTTGCCTTGGTTGTCCTAGAACTAGCTCTGTAGACCAGGCTGGCCTCAAACTCAGATCCACCTGCCTCCCAAGTGTCGGGATTAAAGGCGTGTTCCACTACTGCCTGGTCCAAATCTTATAGTCTATTTTATGTGTATGGGCCATGGGTGGCACAGCCCATGGGGGTCAGAAAGTAACTTGCAGGAGTTGGTTTTCTCCTCCCACCATGTGGGTCCTGTATGTCCAGGGGTTTCCCGGCAGGAACTGTCAGGTTGAAATGTGATAACTGGTACCTCTACCCTTACAGCTGTGCTGTTTTCCAGAGCGCCCGCTGGAGGGAATGGGAAGCTTGGGTTAAAGGGAAGTGTCCTGTTCTGGGGTGGGAGCTGTGGGGTAAATGAGGTAGACTGTCCCCAGCTTACTGTTGAGGCTTCCGGCTCACTGACTCTTCCTTCAGTCTAGGAAACCCAAGGTGCGGGAGCTGGAAGAGACCTAAGATGGCACATGAGTGGTTATCAGGCTGTTTCGTGGCACTTGCGAAGGGGTAAGGATGCCAGAAGACACCATCAGGTCACTTCTGGATTTTTGTTTCTGTTTTTAGGAAGTGTCTCCTGTAAGTTAGGCTGGCCTCCCAAGTCTGTATAGCCAAGTATGGCTTTGAACTCCTGGACTCAGGCTTTCACCTCACAAGAGTTTGAATTATGGGCCTATGAGCCAGGGCTTCACTTCCCTTTGTGGTAACTGTCCATCAGTCAGTCACCTGGCTTTTAAAAAGTATTTTAAGACAAACAACTGCTAGGCAAGGTGGCCCCCACCTTTTTTAATCCCAGCACTCAGGAGGCGGAGGCCGGTGGATCTCTGGGAGTTTGAAGCCAGCTTGATCTACAAAGAGTTACAGGTCAGCTGTAACAGAGACAAAAAACAGCAACCACAACCCAACCTCCCCCCGCTCCAAAAAAAAAAAAAAACCCTGTGGCCTTTCCATAAGTCATGTGTTTGAATCTCAGAAAAGTTAGCTGTGTTAAAGTTTACAAGACTTTCAAAACTTCTAGTATCTGAACTCCTTGGGCCCTGGTTCTTGGAGATGACATTTGTGGTTTGAATTAAGGCATGGTGTATATGAGGTCATGATGTGTCTAGCTGGAATGGGTGTGGGCTGCTGCAAATGTGGGCCACAGGCCTTTTGGCTCACTGTGAGTGCAGTCAGGATCGGAAACTTGGGTAAGGGTTTGTGATTGCCCCTCATGGCAGTGGGCATTTATAGCAGCCCCTGGTTTTGTGATGGTGCCTAATTTTCATCCCATGGTGCTTCTGATCTCTGCAGATGAGGAAACAGACTAAGAAAGCCATCTTGAGAGACGGATGAGGTTTGAAACCTGCTATTTGCCTCCCCTTGGAAAGGAGTCAGCTGCTCTGGTCCTTGCTCCGAGTTGCTGTGTGTCAGGATGGTGCTGTGTGTTTGGTGAAGTCGTCCCAGACTCCTTCAGGTTTTCAATAAGGAATCTGGCTGTGCCAAAGGTTATTCTGACATCTGAATATAATAAACCATGGATATTGGAGGCAGCTGGAGGAAAACACCTGCTATCCAAGCTGTTGGGAGGTGGAGGCAAGAAGATTGTGAGTTCAAGGCCAGCCTTGGCTACAAGAGGCCCAGTCTCCAGAACAAACAAATAAATAAATAGATGCAATTTTATCTATGAATTCCTCTTACTCTGCCTGTTTCTTTCCATGTTCATGTGTTCAATTAACTCTGGTGCCAAACTCGGTCCAAATGAACCAAGGTCCCTTGCCATTCTAAATGCTGGAGCACTTTTTGGTTTTGAGGCTGGGGCTCACTATATAGCCCAGGTGCCCTCTTGAGTACAGTGATTACGTTTACCACCTCATCCCTGGATAGACTTTGAATGGCCATTTGGGACTTGCACTTGATTGAGTGAATGAGGCATGCTGGAGTGGTTGGTGATCACCTCAGGGCTAAGTGAGAGGGATGAGGAACCCTGAGATCCTGAGGATCTGCTCTTGGCTGATAGAAACTTGGTTAATGGCCCAGCTGTCAAGAGTATACACTTCCAGTACCCGAATCAGGCAGCTCACAACTGTAACTCCTCTTGTAGAGGGTGTGATTACCCTCTTCTGGTGTCCCCGTGTCCTCCCACGCCGGGGTACGGCACTCATAATTAAAATGTTCCTAACTGAAGGGCTGAATAGATGACTCAGTTGGTTAAGACTTGTAGCTGCTCCTCCAAAGGACTTGGGTTCAATTCCTAGCGCCCATATGATGGCTTAAAACCATTTGAAACTTGTTCCAGGGGATCCAATACCCTCTTCCCAGCCTCCTTGGGTACAAGTGCACAGACACACTGAGACAAAAACATTAAATTTTTAAGTTTTTGAAACCCATACACGTTCTCTCTTTGTAGACCAGTAGTTGTCAGAATGGAGAATAGGAAGCTAAGAGAGTGATAATGCCTTGGGGTCAACTATTCAGCTGGAAAGTAGTGTAGTCTACCCATAGGTGTGCCCACAGGGCTAGTTCACACAGGCACTGTCAGGAAATGTAGTGGGCAAGGCCTGGCAAAAGCCATCGAGGGTACAGTAGTAGTAAATCTTAGATTTCATTACTACTGACAGCAGATAGAACAGTGCCCAGAGATACCAGACTCCCACATTCCTGTTATGCCTAACAAAACCCACCCAAATAGACGATACTGTCACACATGCAGGCAAAAGGCAAAGCCCCTTACACACTCACACACACAAACTTTAAAAATAGATAGTAGGGGCTGGAGAGATGGCTCAGTGGTTTAGAGCACTGACTGCTCTTCCAGAGGACTCGGGTTCAAATTCCCAGCACCCACATGGCAGCTCACACTGTACATAGAAGCAACACACACACACACACCATCTTAAATGGTCAATTTGGCCTTGAGCTAGATAACAGTAAAACTACCAGGGTTTCCTCAGTCCCCAGCAGATGAGTGGGCGGTGACCCCACCCCCTTTGTCCGCATGTCTGCTGGGTTCTACTAGTCTGATTTTTTTATAAGGACCATGCCACGAGGAAACTTCAAGTGGCTGCAACCTGTCCAGAGTGACCAGCCATTCTCTTAAGACAACTGGAGCCTCTGGACTCGGTGCTGAAAAGGCCCAAAGTTGGTTCAGTCCAGGAAGGAATTAAATGATGTCATCTTGGCTTCAATAATGTGAAATGAGAGTAACTCCTGTATGGGTCCTGGGAGTCAATGCAAACATGGTTGTGCAAGCCCCAGGGGTGGGAGAAGCTGAGTCATGTGTTGATAGGGTGGGGAGACAGCCAGAGTCTAATACCACACCCACAGGTCAATCTCTGACCTAAGAATGATCTTGGGATTTCTAAGTGGTTAGGAGAAGAAAACCCCCAAAACACACTACATCATGACAGGTGAAATTTCTGTCGATTACAGGGTTCCGTGTCTCAGATTTACTGGAACTCAGCCACGTCAGTTCTGATCGAATCAGCACAAGTCTCAGGTCTTTTTAAGGCCTGGGGTTTTGGGAAATGAAACCCATGGGTGGGAGTCCCCAGGTTGGGGAAACCCTAGCAAAGCTCTACCCCAGGAGGCTGGGGATGGAGTGCTTCCATGCCAGGCTGAAAAGGAGATGCAGCCTGGCTGGGGCTTGTCTGAGGGCCCTATACTTCCCAGGGTGAAGCCACTGCCACTGGATCTGGGCCATTTTCAGCCAGTGGCTCATTTTACCACTAATGGTACTGGCTTTTACCACATGGTGGATAAGAACTTAAAATTTCGTTAGGTATGTTGCATTATCAAATGATTTAAAAAAAAATCAAACGAAATGGTTGAAATACAATTGTCAGCCAGGTGGTGGTGGCATATGCTTTTAATCCCAGCACTGGCAGGCAGATCTCTGTGAGTTCAAGACCAGCCTGTTCTATAGAGAGATCCAGGACAGCCAGGGATACACAGAGAGACCCTGTCTCGAAAAACCAAAAGTGGGGGGAGGGAAAAAAAAGAAGAATACAATTGCTAGGTATTTGTGAATATGAATATAAGAACTCTCAAAGTTGACCCACAAATAACTCATATTTGGGGATATGAGGCCTGCCATCTAGCCTCCTCCCAGCATGAGGGAAGGGAGCAGAGAGAGCTGCCCCCTAGGGCAGATCTTGAGATTGGGAGGACTACACAGAGAAACCTTAGTGGTCAGTTAGCCATTTCTTTTAACATTATTTATTTAAATTCATTTTATGTGCATTGGTGTGAAGGTGTCAGATCCCCTGGAACTGGACAGTTGTGAGC